GATGAGGATGCTATTGCACTGGGGCGCGGCCCCGAAACTGAAGTAGGCGTTGGTGCTGATGGTCAAGGCGTTCCACCACCGTCGCCTGCGCGAGCTAAACCCGTGGCCTGTCCGTCTTGGGCTCCTTGCGCGCTCTAAAGGTTTCCGGCGCTTCGGCAAGGCGCTTCCGCCCCCCCCCCCCCCGCGCGCGCTCATCGTCGCAAGCGCCCAGCAGACCGCCAGGATCTTCACGGCCTCCGAGGAAGGCCCCTCTGCGCCAGCGTTACGTGCAGCTCCTGCTTCAGCTTCTGCGTTTCCGCCGCGAGCCCCTCCTTGGCCGCGGCGTCGGAGCCCAACTTGTCGACCGCAGTGAGGATGGCCTCGATGACGTCGGCGGCAGACAGGTTGTCGACCGCCAGCGACCCAATGGTGTCCTTGAGCTTCTTGCCATCGATGCCACCTGGGTCTTGCTTAGCGCCGTGGAACTTTGCTGCCTCCTGCTTCGCAGTCTCCAGCTCCTGCTCCATTTCGGTGACCTCGCCCTCCTGACCGGAGATGGTTGCCAGCAACTTGAGCGCCTTCTGCTTGCTAGTGGCGAACTGGTCGCGTGATGTTTGCAGCGCTGTGGCAGCCTCGTCAACAGCCTGCGGGGCTTCGCGACCAGCAGCCCCAAGCATACCGGCAGCCACAGCACGTCTGGCATTGTCCACCTTGCTGCGCGAGGAGTGCGAGAGGGCGCCTTTCGTCTTCTCGTCGGCCTCAATCGGGAAGTCAACCCACGTGTGAATCTCCTCCGCACTGAGCGTCGGCCTACGAGGCGCTAGCATTGCCAAGCCTGGGCCACTGCTTCCTTCCGCGCAGCCACGGTTCTTTGGCCCAGCTGTTGTCGTTTTTTTTTTCGGCCCGCCGACACGCCAGGGCTGACGAGGCGCCCGACCTTGCCCACAACCTCCGCATGACTTGCACCCCGTGGTATTGAACTCGCCGCAACAGCACTTGCAGTATTCTGCCATGGCCAGGACCAGAACACTATCCACGCGAGAAAGAGTAACGCGAGTGAGCTGAGCTTGTGAGGCCCAGCGAGAGCTGTTGGGGCTAGCCGCGGACTAACGGTACCCGCTTCTTTCCCAAGGGGAAGCATCGCCTTGAGCCAAAAGGGCTACGGAAATCCTCGGCGGTCGATAATGAAACCGTCCTCCACCGGTTGCGCCATAGGTTGCGCCCCCGGCAGCTGATAATAAGCAGTCTCCCATCGCGTGTGCTATAGGTGGCGCCCCCGGCGGCCGAGAATCCAACCGTCTCCTATCGGTTGCGCCATGGGTTGCGCCCTAGGCGGTCGAAAATAAAACCGTCTCCAATCGGTTGCGCCATAGGTTGCGCCCTAGGCGGCCGAGAATAAAACCGTTTCCTGTGTCTTATCGGTTGCGTCATATGTTGCGCCTTCGGCGGCTGAAAGTCAAAGCGTCTTCGATCGTTTGCGTTATAGGTTGCGCCCTCGGCGGCCGAATCAAGCCGTTTCCTATCGGTTGCGCCATAAGTTGCGCGCTCGGCGGCCGAGAATCAAGCCGTCTCCCATCGTTTGCGCCATATGGGCCATAAGTTGCGCCCTCGGTGGCTGAGAATAGAACCGTCGCGTAACGGGTGTGACCAGTCAGTTCAAAACGACCCGCCCTCAATCCGTAAAACTCTTGCAAATATTCAAAAAGAATGCATGCGGCGCTAAAGCGGAACACATGTTGAAACGATCCGCCCTCAATCCGTGAAAAAAGTGCGGAAATCTTAAGCGAAACGCCCCGTCCGCCCTAAAAACTGGCCTCGGGTTGCGACAGGGAAAAATCATGTGTAGGAAATGGAATGGGGGAGGAGGAGGAGGAGGAGGAGGAGGAGGAGGAGGAGGAGGAGGAGGAGGAGGAGGAGGAGGAGGAGGAGGAGGAGGAGGAGGAGGAGGGGAGGAGGAGGAGGAGGAGGAGGAGGAGGAGGAGGAGGAGAGGGGGAGGAGGAGAGGAGCGGGAGGAGGATGGAGATTGGAGGTGAAGAGCGGGAGAGGACGAAAGGGTATGATCGCAAAGGGCAGGGTAGAAAATCAGTTCACGTAGCTGGTTTTCCAGGCGCCCATTGGCGCCAGGAGGCGCCCTGGTATCGAGGAATGGGCCGGCTGCGGGGCCGAAACCAACTACATGCGGCAGATTTCGTAACCCCTCCATTCCCTATCACATCCTTTCGTCCAGCCAGCAGGAGGAGGGGGAGGAGGAGGAGGACGAGGAAGGGGAGGGGGAGGAGGAGGGGGGAAGGAGGTAGGGCTAGAGGTTGGAGGAAAGTCGACAGGAGGGCTAGCGCCAAGGCTAAGGGCAAGGACGTCGGAGGTCGAGGCTGCGGGCGAGGAGGGGCGAGCCGGAGGTGGGCGCGCGGCCGGTGGCAGGGATGCCATGCCCTGCGGAGGCACTGCCGGCCTCGAGCTGCAGACGGCTGAGTCGTTGCGGGCCACGTGGGGAGATGAAAGAACAGCACACCTCCTCCTGCTGCTGCGCCTCCTCCGATTACTCCTGCATCCTCCACCTCTTGTGGTACGACGTCTGTCCCAGCCCTGTATTCCACTTCATGCATCGTTTCTGGATGGGTTGGTGGAAATACTTGTTTTGATTCGCGGCCCGCAAAGAAAAATCCAGAGGGCGGTGTGAGAGAGGCTGGGACACAGCGCACGGGAAGGCTGATAATTAACGGCGCAGCACAAGTGCCGGCCGAGAAGAAGCAGCTGAGCATGCGCCAGCAGCAGAAAATTAACAACGCTGAACATGTGCCAGCGAAGGATGCAAATGGGAAGTACCAGCCGCTGAGCGTGTGCCAGCGAGGGTGGGGAGGGCGGATAGGTCGGACCCGCAGGTGGGGCCAGACTGCCAGGCGGAAGGTGCCAAAACCACTCACTCACTTGGAACGTCGGCCAGGCTGTACGCCGCTGAAGGGGGGTTCGGGCCAATGCCTGGAGACGGCCGACCACAAAGGACAGCGCCCGCGATGGCTCCTGGTACCAAGGCGGTGTGCGGCTTGCGCATCCCGCAGCACTCATGTGACTGTAGCCGACGGCTAACACAAGCGCCAGAACGGTGCCTGACCGACGTCCTTGTCCGCCGGTGCCGACAAGCGGCCGACCGTACTGTCAACACGCCCATGTGAAAGGGGGATCAGAGCTAGTGGAGTTACGCGAAGCGTCTAGGATAGCGTTGAGTCATTGCGGGCCACGTGGAGAGATGAAAGACTAGGCGGCGCGCACAAGGGGGTAGGGGGATGAGAAGGCTTTTCAGAAGGCGGCTGCTCATTAGCAGGCGCCGGCCCTACATCTATAGATAAGGCCCGCGCCATCTAATAAGAAGGGGCGTTTCAAAGACGCCTTCCCCCCTCACCCTACTTCCTCTGCGCGTGGCTGAAATAACACACGCTCAAACCTACAGGGAGGAGCGGCTGACCGCGAGGGGCGCGCGCCAGCTGGCACCCAGTGAGTGCAACCGCGTATTCCCCTCTCCTCGCGTGCCCCCTGCTCCTTTCCTGATGAAAGAACAGCACACGCCCAAACCTATAGGGAGGAGGACTGAGGGAGGGCAAGTCAATGACGGCGCTGTAGGTATGAGTGCGAGTTGTCGGACCCCGAGGGGGGCTCTCGTTCGAGCGGGGGGTTCCATCCGACAACACACACCCACAGCCACCACAGAATTCCACCCTGAGAAATCCAGGGGTCGCATAGGTATTGTTGCTAATTGTCGGCTCACGATTAGGAGGCAACGTGTGGGAGGTCTTCGTAATAAGGGCTAACACGCAAGATTCACGTGGCATTGAGCAGGGCGAGCCCAGATTAAGCCCAGCACGAAGCCGAATTCAGGCAGGTTAGGCGAGCCTAGGCCTGACTAAGCGGGACGATGCCAAATTAAGCAAGTTTTCGACCACGGATCTAATTACCAGCACCGATGCTGAAAGTAACCTCCCAGGAAGTGCACCCTAAACCACGGGGCGATGGCGTGCGCGCCGCGCAGAAGGCGAGCGCTGGCGCCGCCTCCTGGTTCCTGGTTCCTGAGGTCCCTGCGGGTGCTGCCTCTCCCCCACAGCCGCCTCCTCATCTTCCTCCTTTCGTCCTCCCTCCTCCTCCCTCCTCCTCCGTCCTCCAGTCGAGGAGGGAGGAAGAGGGGAGGAGGAAGGAGGGACAGCAGAGCGGGAGGAAGCGGGAGATGAAGACGATGACAACGCATCGGGATGAGTAGGGCGGAGGGATGAGGATACCGTGATAGAGATGAGGATGCCGACAGGGTGATGCTAGCCATCGGTTTCCTCCGGGCTTGAAGCACAAAAAACTTGAGCCCTCCTAAGATGTTTTGTGCGATATTGGGGCGCCCTGGAATCGGTTTCCAAACCCGTGGATAAGTTGTGGCAGATCAGTGTTCCATGCACAATGGAATCGATTGTCTTGGCAAAGTTTTAAAATCCGACATCTTGCCCCAAGGAATGTAGTGGAGTGTTCTCGGGTTCCTTCAACTCTCTCCACTGATATCCTAGATGTTCTTATGAAAAAGGGGCCCAGGGTAAGAACTCACGGGGCGATCCTGGGGGATCTTGGGCGCTCCAAGGGATCGTTGCGTGACTTCTCCAGGGGAGGTTCGATGCTTTCGGGCCCCTAAGGAGGGAGCCCGAACTGACCACACCAGCCCTCTTGTGCCAAGATGCCCCACGAGACCGACATGGGCCAAAGAGGCTCCGAAGAGGCCCCTGTATATCTCCGGCAAAACCCCACCAGCCATCTCAGAACCCTCGCCGTCCTCGACAGGACAAAGATATAATAGGGTGAGGATAAATCGAGAATCTCTGAGACCCAGCCGATGTGGAGGATGTATCGGGCGTCGCGGCCTTCTTAAAGCGTCTGGAACGCTCTGAGAGCGTTCCGGAACGCTCTGGAATGGATAATCCTCGTCCTAGCCCCGTCCGACGAGGGTCCCCCCGGCGACGGCGGCCGGACCCCTAGCACTGCGGGGGCGGGGCACTCGTTGAGCGGCCCGACTTGCTCCTCGACAGTGGCCATGACCTGCGCACACTGCGGCGCCGGCGGCAGAGCTCTGCGGAGCTGTGCGGACAGACAGCCTGGAAGGCGAGATCACTCGGAGCCTGTCCAAGCGCTTAGAGTGAGCTGTGTGAGCGGTGAGAACGCACGCTGGGGGCGCTCGAGCGCGCCTCGGCTGACCCAGCTCGGCGATATCCCTGGGGCCAGGCCGCGCTGGAAGCCACGACAAAATTTGTGGGACCACGGCAAAACTGGAAACCACCCAGCGGCAGGCTACATGAAGGCCTGGCAAACCGATCGAACGAGGAGGAGGAGGAGAAGGTAAAGATTGGGACGATGACGAAGAGGACGACAACGACCACAACCAACCTAGGATGCATCCGCGATGTTGCAATTAAACGTCCCGTCCAGGGTCCCGTCCTCGTAAGTCCCCATGGGCAATATGTTTCACAACTCGCCGAGGCCAAGCTGGTCGTGCTGCCTCTACTCGCACTTCCCAGACGCATCTTCCAAGATTCGCACGGCAGGTTCGTGTCGTGCCGACTTCGGCGTGGGCTTCTGACACAGAAGGGATCGTTCAACCTTGAACGATCGGTCGTTTCCGAAACGTCAGATCGTTCGACGTAGACCGATTATGGGTCGCTGGCGGCGCTCAACCTTGAACACCCGCGCCAAAGTCACCGCCGAATCGATACGACACGAACCTACCGTAACCGATCACATTGGACCTTGACCTCTCGTCCTGCCGCTCGCTGCTGGCGGTCAGCTCCAGATCGCCGCCCCGCGTGCCGCTGCAGGCCGCCCGAGCATGCGGCGGTTGCTCGCCTTTCCCGCGCGCATCGCTTCCCGCTTTGCAGCTGGGAGGCGTTGAGTCTCCCGGGGAAGAGCCAACAACTGCAGAAACATACACCTCATGGCTCGCCGACCTCATGGCCGACCTCATCGCGTGGGCAGGGGGACCCTCTTGAGGGGCCTGTGGCCAACGGCCGCCCGGAAGCGCGGAAGAGGCACGTGCCACATCGAGGGCGGCTGCGACGAGCGGGGAGCGGGTGTCGGGGAACAAAGAATGGCATAAAGATAAATTTTCTAAGGTCCGCTCGAATGCCTTGGATCGGCGCTGGGCCCCCCTCCCTGGCCCGCGGAGCGCGCAGGGGGCCACCGACCGCATGTCGAAGAAATCCGCGCGGAGTTGCGAAAGTGCACAGTAATGACGCCGAGTTCTCTTCCTCGAAACTCCTCGTCCGTTCCTGGTTGTCCCTGTTCGGCTCTGTTCCGCTCGTCGGCCCCGAACCACGGCCGACAGCGTCGGCGTCCGCCCTGCCCACACAGCCCCTCGGAGCCGACGTCGGCCTGACTTCAACCTGGTTCAACCTCCAGACTTTGGCGACGCACACAATACGTATGGGGGTCGGAGGAGGGGTCAGATTTTTAATAAGAAGGCTGCGTTTTCGAAGGCCGAAGGCGCTGGCCCTACCTGTATAGATGAGGCTCGCGCCTTCCAAGATGCAGGGGTGCTTCTAAAGAAGGCGCCCCCCTCCCCCTAGATGCTCGTGGCTGATCCATCCTGCTGGCGGGTGGCACGCCGCACTCGACCTCGCCTTGACGCCCTACGAGGGCGGGGGAACGGAAGGGTGCGACCACGTACGTGGCGCACCGCGCCTCGCGGTGCGCGCCCCGCGCCTCTCTCCTCCGCGCCTTCCGCGCCGCTCCAGTCAATTGCCAAGCATATCCATATTAGTGCAACATACAAGGCATTCTTTGCACACCCGCCTCAGGCGCGCCTGGCAGCGGCTATGCCGCGCCAGGGCCGCCGAGAAGCAGTTGACTGCGCAATTTCCTTTGGTCTCCTTTCTGGTCTACGAATGAGTCTGCCCACTTTTTCGGGCACCCCTGGTCCAGTCCGCCTCCAGCGTTTCGGCGTGTGGTTGGCTATCCTCGTCAGGACCTGCCACAACCAACCACACGGGGCAGGCCGACGCAGTCACGAACGACACCTCTGTTTCCGACTGTGCGAAAGCACCACGCGTACCTCTTGAATGCAAAGATACACTGTGTATGGTCGTATTCTGGGACTCCTTCGTACGCACCAAAATTGCCAGAAGATGGCCAGCCAGGCTCTGGGAACCTGCTGCTTTGGCCTTCAAAGAAGGGAGGAAACAACTGCCCCCCTTTTCGTTTCGTGACACCGCCGGCAGCGCAGCTAAGCCGGGCGATTGCCCCCTTTCCTTGAGCGGACACTAACCACGGCCCAGGGGTGTGAGCCACCGGACCGCTGCGTTAGGCGCTCGTGGATAATCAAAGCGCACCTGCGAAACCCTTTTTTTTTTTTTGGCAAAGCCACCACTGCTACCTCTCTGACGTTTGGAAAAAAAAAGGCCGCACCACCGAAGACGGGCTCCTGGAGAGACTTCTGGCTGATAACCAATCACTTGCCAAGACATCCCCATATTAGTGCAACATACAAGGCATTATTTGTACACCCGCCTCGGGCGTGCCTGGCAACGGCTATGCCGCGCCAGGGCCGCCGAGAAGCAGTTGACTGCGCAACTTCCTTTGGTCTCCTTTCTGGTCTAGGAATGAATCTGCCCACTCTTTCGGGCACCCTGGTCCAGTCCGCCTCCAGCGTTTCGGCGTGTGGCTGGCGATCCTCTTCAGGACCTTCAGGACCTGCCACAACCAACCACACGGGGCAGGCCGACGCAGTCACGAACGACACCTCTGTTTTTGACTGTGCGAAAACACCACGCGTACCTCTTGAATGCAAAGATACACTGTGTCTGGTCGTATTCTGGGACTCCTCCGTACGCACCAAATTGCCAGAAGATGTCCAGCCAGGCTCTGGGAACCTGCTGTTTTGGCCTTCACAGAAGGAAGGAAAGAACTGCTCCCTTTGCCCCCGCCCCCCCCCCCCCCCCTGCAAGCCTGTGGAGGGCGACCCCTCGGCGCCGTCGGCGGGCGAGGCCCCCCGCAGGCGGTGCTGAGGGTGTGCGAAGGGGCTTTGGCCTGGAGAGTGCCTTGTATTTTTCGCGATGGCGGCAGTTACCGGACCCGCCCCGCCCCCCCTCGGCTACACACAAGAGTGACCCTGGGTAGGAGTGACCTTTGGTGCGCGGCTTTTTGGGGGCCGCGGGGCAACCAAACCCAGGCACGGCCAGATGCCTCTGCCGCATAGCGTTCGGTGATCGTGGGGCCCAGTGGGCCCGCGTCACTGCGGAGAAAGGTCACTCTTACGTGTAGTCGATCTCCCCCCAGGCAACGTCGCGACTCGTGCTGACCTCCAAGATGTCGTTGGTCATCCCTTCCCAAATATTCCCGGACGGCTCTTGCGCGAAACGTGACGTTACCGGCCCCCCCGCCCCCGCCGATAACGCCCGCTGTCGCCTAGGAACACAAAAAAACGCTGCCCTGTCTTACCCGTCGGTCGGAACAAGTGGGTAGAAACATCAAGTAGGAAGGCGTTGGAAGTACATTAGGTTTCCGCCCGCCCCCCACCCCTTGAGGAGGAGGGAAGAGGGAAAGCCGTTCGACTCTTGAAGCAGGAAGGCGCCCAAAATAGTTTTGGATCTGGGAACTAACAACCGGTGTGTACGGTGTCAGACCCCGTGGAACGCTCGCCACAAGAGACCTCCAAGAAGCCCCAGAAACTTTTGGAGAGGCCCTAAAACGGCTCCCAAAAGATTCAAAACGGCCCCCGAGAGGCCTCCCGCGACATCCCAACGACTATCTTAGAGGCCTCTGATCCACAACCCAAGCACGGTGGCGGGATGGGCCGAAGGCCATTACGGTAGGTTCGCGCGGCGTCGGCGCGAGGAAAGGTCTTTGACGCCGCGACGATCGTTCAACCTGGAATCGATTGAGGTTGAATTCAGTCGGACACAGTGGCGTTACCGTATCCATCGGTGCTTCCGCATGGCAAAATTCAACCTTGAACGCCGTCGCGAGCGTCGCCAACGCGCCAACGCCACACGAACCTACCGTACATATCTATGTTCAGCGACCGTTGCGTGCGGTTTCAGACCCCGTGGGACGCTCACCCTTTCGGTGCTGGACTGCGGGGATGTCTCGAGTTCAGCCGTCGGGCTGCACCTCCCGCGCTTGGGCTGCCCCCGGTGCGCAGGGCCCCCCACGCGCATCTCGAGGAAGGAGAACAGGGGAGGAGGAAGGGAAAGAGGAAGAATGAGGCGGGAGTGAGGAAGAGAAGGGAGCCGCGGCCACGACTGGCCATCCCTCGGACGTCCATTCCCTCTGCAGTCCTCGACGTCGCGCGTGTATGTTTCGCAAGATAGCCCAGGATGCTCCTCGACGGTCCTCGCCGAGGAAAACATGCACACGTCCGGGCGATGCCAGGGGAAGGAGAAGGCGGGAGTGAGGAAGAGAAGGGAGCCGCGGCCACGAGGGGGACGAGGAAGGAGAGGGGCGGAGCCTGCCATGGAGAGGGGCACTGGCCAGCGAGTACGGGGGGAAGGATAGCGGGGGAGGAGGGAGGACGGACGCGGGAGCAGGGAGCAGGACGGTCGCCAGGGGGGGGGAGCAGGAAGGAGGGGGGGAAGGAGGAGGAAAGCGGAGAAGGGAGGAGGGAGAAGCGAGGAGAGCCGCGGGGCAGGGAGGGGCGGCGGCAAGGAGGGGCAGAAAGGAGAGGGCGAGGAGTCCACACACATAGCGTGCCTTTGCGAGTCCCACCGTGCCCACTAGGCTTAGGTGATCTGCCGAGTTCTTTCTTTTCTTCACTCTTCCAGGGCTCCTTCAGTCCTCGACGGGGAGGTGGCTACCCTCTCCACGCTACCCCCTCACAAGAATCTGGACTGGGTGGGCGGAGGGAGAGACTGTGGAGAAAGGGTTTCCGTCGGGGCCCGTGCCGTGTGCGCCGAACCCACCAGGGGCTCCTGCGGGGGGATGCTGGTCAACAGGACCGCGAGAGTGGTCACATGTGGGCGCACCTGGGGGAACCAGGAGGGGAAGGGAGCATGGCAGGAAGGCTGGGAGGCAGGGGCTCCTGAAAGTGTCGACCGTAGGCGGACGGAGGGAGACCCAGTGGAAGGGGGTATCCGTCGGGGCGCGTGCCGTGCGCACTGAAAACCTCGGGGCTCGTGACAGGGGATATGTCGAACCCTGTCGGACCCTGGACCAAAAATTTTGGTGCCCAACCCTGGGATTTACGATAAGTGGGGGTCCATCCTCCATAGGGGTGCGTCCGAATAGCCCCGCTAGGGTGTATCCCAGGCGTCCCCCCCTTCTGAACGGCCAGCCTTTCCAAGTGGAATTCGGGGACTGGGGGAGAGCAATCGCAAGCGTACTCGTGCCGCGCCCGCTGAACCTTCCCTGGGGCTCTGGACAAGCGGCGTGCAGAGCCGACGACGCAAGGCACCGCGGCCAGCGCGAGTGCCCTCGCGCCCCTCCGCGGGCGACCTTGGCCTCGAGTCCGTTCTGCAGCCCGCTCTCCCCTCGCTCGAGGAGCAGGAAGCTGCACTCCGCGACTTCTTGGGTCGGCGCTGGAACCCCCTCCCTGGGATCGACCGAGGAAGCTCGAGACCGTTTTGCCACCTGCTCTTCCCTCGCCCGAGGAGCAGAAAGCTGCACTCCACGACATCTTGGGAAAGGGCTGGAGCTAAGGAGTCTTGTTCGTTTTCGATTCGCTTCGTTCTCTTTCGTTCTGTCTTCGTTCTGCCGGCTTTGCTGCGGAGCGCAAACAAAACGAAACAGGTCCACGAAATCGCCAAAACACCGCCTAGCTTGAGCCCTGCTGCGCTGGACCCCTTCCCCCGGATCAATCGAGGGTCGAGGTTTTCGGAGGTTCGTCGGTCATTTCCTCGAGCCCCCGAGGAAATTCCTGGCCCGCCGCGCCGTGGCGGGGCCCAGGGTCTGGCGGCCTTCTCGATCTGGTCGACCGCGCCCAGGCGGGCGTAGACCTGCGCGACAGGGGCCATGGCCTCCTCTGAGGACGAGGAAGGGGGAAGGGGCGGGGGGAATCCAGGATGGCACAAACTGGGCGATTGGTGAAGTCGGAGGAGAAGACACCGCATGGACAAAAACTCTCGGAGCTCCACGCGGATCTCTAGCATAGGCGCTGGGGACCCCGGCGCCTCCAGCACCGCCCCTGTCGCGCTCCGCACGCCAGGGAAGGGATCCAGCGCCGATCCGACCTCCGAACATGTATTGATGCAGTGGCTTTGCTCTTCCAGGGAAGTCGCGAACGAGAGGGATTGCGAGAGAGCCCGACCCCCCTCCCCGCTTGGGCGTCGCTTCGTGGGAGGGTGATAGATAAGGAAGGGAAAAGTTGCACTCTTAAGGGCCCTGAAGACAACCTTCTGGGCCGAAAGTGCCCCTTGCGGGGCCCGTAAGGGCCCCTCTGAAGCCCTCGGTGCCCCCCCCCCATGTATCGCCCTCCCCAATACAGGCGAACCTGGGACAGAAAATCATCCCTCGAGAACAGGAGGCCTTCCGCTGGCCGGAACGCACAAAACATCCAAGGGCTGGTGCACAGGACCATCCAATAAACACGAAGAACATTCGGGCATCCTCCCCGAGCCCACCTCGGTCTGATGCCTCGGTCCGACTGCACACGACCCCCTACCCGCGACAGTCCTGAGATTGCCAGGGGCGGGCGAGCTCCGCATCGCGCGCGCGCGCTTGGACGGGCCCCCCAGGGTGGGGGCCCCGCCCCTCGGCGATACGCTCTTGAAGCCCCGTGCCCCCTTACAGGAGAGGGCCTGCGTCGGTTCACGAGCCAACAGGGGTCGGCCGTTGCGCGGGGAGCGGGGGACAGAGAGAAGGACACTGAAGAACTCTGCCCGGCCCCTCTTCCGCCTGCCCAGCCGCCCCGCCGGCCTGGCCTCCTGCCTGCGCGTTCGTCGTCGTCGTCTGCCTGTTTCTCGCACCGGGCGCAGGCGTGCGCGACCTGTTCTGCTCTTGCAGAGGAAGAGCAAGGAATGCGGACGTTGATGCATGGGTGTGCGGTGCTTGGGATAGCATGCGAATCGAAGAAAACATCAATCATCGTGGTATGGAAAGGAATGTGTCTGCTGGCTGGGGCAGAGCATTGGAATCCATGGGCCACGCAGCCAGATGGGTGACTCCCTCCGCGGAACACCGCTGCGGAGCATCGCCGCGATCCTTGTTTTCACTGCTGGTGTTCAGAATACCCCTATGCGTTTGAAAATTCGGTGGGGCAAAACAGGGCGCGAAGGGGTGTCGAAGTAGCGTTCGACCCACGACTCGCAAATGTCTTCTAGCGTTGGCACCGAAGGCGGGCTGACCACGAAATGTCCCCTGGAACGGCTTCCCTTTTCACAGGCCTCCTAAGGGGGCCGAACGGTGCCACACCAGCGCGTCATGGCATCCATCATCAAGACGAAAGTCCTGCGATGATACGCGACCCAGTACACATGCGGAGGGCAAACCTTCCATGGACCAGTGCTGGATTAGGACGCCTTGGAGCACCAGGCGCAGCAGCGTGTCATGACATCGGTGGGCCACACCAGCGCGTCAAGACAGCCATCATCATGAGGATGTTCCTGCGACGAAACATTCGTGGATGTACATACGGACGGCCAGTGCCCCATGTGTACCCATCGCTCTGCCACACCAGCGCGTCATTGCATTCATAATCATGACGATGTCCCTGCTACGCGACACATGCATAACGTGCCATCGCTGGATCTGGGGCGCACAAGTTGCAAGCGTGCGTTGATAACCCTTGCTTTGGGCAGAGGTCACAGGGGTCGCGCGCTTGATGGGGTAAGACGGCGCTTGTAGTTCAGGCGAAGTACTGCTCGAACCACAAAAGTGTTTTCTCGCTGGGGCACAGGAAAAAATATCAACTAAATCGCCCTCGTAATGGTGTCCCGTCAAGCGAGCTCTTAAGGGAGCCGACCGGTCGTACACAATCTTTGGGGTCGGTGCTGAATGAAGACTCCATGTTGCACACGTTGGCAACCCAATTTTTCATGATATCGGTGTGCCACACCAGCGCATCATCACACCGATGATGATGACCGTGGTCCTGCGATGATGCACAAGTGAATACACATGCGGAAGGCCAACCTGCCATGACACCGGCGTGCCGCACCAGCGCGTCCTGACACTCACCCGTATGATGATGATGATGGTGATGATGATGATGATGATGATGTTGATGATGATGATGCTTATTATGATTATGATGATGATGTTGTTGATGCTGGTGTTGATGTTGATGTTGATGTTGATGTTGATGTTGATGTTGATGTTGATGTTGATGATGATGATGATGATGATGATGATGATGATGATGATGATGATGATGATGATGATGATGATGATGATGATGATGATGATGGGGGTGGTGATGAGGGTCCTGCGACGAAACATGACTGGATGCACGTGCGGAACGCCAGCGTTCCATGACCGCTCCATGTGTATGACCGCTCAGCCACACAAGCGCGTCAGGATGCTCATCATTCAAGACGATGTCTTGCTTCGACGACACACGCAAACCATGCAATGGAAACGTCTGGGGCGCACAGGTAAGCAGCGTCCGCTGATACCTTGTTGCCTTGGGCAGAGGCCAAGCGGGTCGCGCACGCGTGTGCCCGCAGCTCTGCTTCTCCTCTCCTCTTCCCCCTCCGCCGGGCAACACAGCCTGCCCAGAACCAGCGTGGCAGCGCGTAGGGCTCAATGCTGGTGCGGGCCGGAGACGGCACCCCCAGCACATCATGGAAGGAAGCTTGCGAGAGCGGCTGCGCTCTCGCGCCGAGCTCTTCCAGAAGATTGAGGGACTATGATTGAAGCGGGCCGTTCGATGGCGCCTCGCACGCAGGCGAACGCGCGGGGCCAGCCTATGCTGACCTCCTCCTCATCCTAAACAGTGCTGACCCCATGCCTCTCGCGCTGGGCACGTTCCTTCTCGACCAAAGCCTCGGGGGATACAAACACATGGAACCTGGAAACACTGGAGGCACCAGAGCAACGGAGGAGAACACCTGCTCATCGCTGCTGCTGCAGCTCCGCCTCGGCCGCCCCGCTGTGAGAGCCCCGCGCCCCGCCCAGCATCGGCGCGGCGCGCCCAGGGGGTAATGAGAAGGAGCAGGCCTTATCAGAAGGCTCGGGAGGCCTCAGGGCCTCCTGAGAAGTTGCCTGAGCTTTCCCGTGGACACGGGAGAGCCCTCAGAAGGCCCGAGGCCCTCTGAGAAGCCCCGCCGCGTTCTTAGCAGGCCCTCTCCTTCTCGTTTCCTACCCTCGCCCGCCGCCGCGTGAGGGCTTGGCGCCCCGCCCAACAGCAAGGGACACCAGCGAGCGGTGAACGCCTCCGACGGCCCGACGGGTCCTCGGGCCCTGGTGCTGCGAGAGGCCCCCTCGCGCACGCTGGTGCACCGAGGGCCCCGCGCCCCGCCCAAAAGCAAGAAACCGCAACGAGCGCTGAACGCCTCCGACGGCCCGACGGGTCCTTGGGCCCTGGTGTTTCCCAGAGACCCCCTCGCGCAGGCTGCTGCGCCGAAAGCCCGCGGCACCTGCAGAAGCCCGACATGACCCATTCCCCGACTTGGCCTGCACACGGGCAGGACCACAAGAGCGCCCACGCACGGCCCACGGCAGCCCTTCCCAGACCAGAAACAACTGAAAAGCAAGGGGGAGAGGAGGAGAAGCAGGTGGATGAGGAGGGGGGAGTGGGAGACTGAGGAGGGACAAGAGGAGGAGGAGGAGGAGGAGGAGGAGGAGGAGGAGGAGGAGGAGGAGGAGGAGGAGGAGGAGTCGAAATCGAATTCGAAATCGAATTCGAATTCGAATTCTAAGTCTAATTATAATTCTAATTATAATTCTAATTCTAATTCTAAGTATAATTATAATTCTAAGTCTATTCCAAATTCTGATTCTAAATCTAATTCCCATTATAATTCTAAGTCTAATTCCAATTCTAATCCTACTTCTAAGTCTAATTCTAAGTATGTCAAGGGCGTGGTCCTTCTATAGGAAGGCCGCTTAGCAAAAACTGTACAGGTCGGGGAAAACAGACCCCGACTTCGGGGGAAGCCCCCGAGACAAACGAGACAACACCGCACGTCCAGCTGCGGTGGGTCGCCCGCACCCCTTCTTGAGGGTGCGAGGGGGGGTCACAGTGCAAAACCCCCCGCAAATCTCACAATACAAAACGCCTCGCAGCACCGACAGCTGGTGCGAGGAGTCGCACAAGCCCGCCATGGGGTGATCGAGCGCTCCTCCACACAATGCAGAAGGTCCCAAATCATCGGGAGAGTGGCGGCAATCTCCCCGTCCAGGGGTACGAGCTGGGAGGCCTTGAATTCGTTGATCGATCTGGCTCCGAGGCTTACGCGGGCCAGGCCAGAACTCAAACAGCTTCCCTCGCATGGGAAATCCTCGGTGACACACGTTACATTTGATAACAGCAACAGAGCACCGAGGGTCGTGACCAGCATCACACAAACGACATAAACGCCCGGAGAGACTCGTAGCTTGGCCTCTGACACGGCGTGGAACCGTCTCGCCACGCCCACGTTCACTCACAAAGACGACCTTCCGCTGGACCGACAGCAGCCGCTGAAGCACGTCAGTGGCCAGCTTATCGGCCTGGCGGGTGACGCTCACATCTTCACCTGACAGTTGTGCGCGGGCAGCGGCAGCGGCAGCAAACTAACCCGCAGCTTTATTCAAATAGAGCTCAACAGGGGATACAAATATGTTTTGGTATTGGGCCTGGGTGGGATGTGGGTTGGTTCAAGAGATATTGAAAGATCCACCTCGGACGGACATGACCCGATGGTACCCCACCCAGAGGCCAAGCATGCTAGAACGACTCTTAGCACTAAGAGGACGCCGAGCACCTTGGACCAGTCGAATTCCTCGCCAACATGATTAAAGCAAATAACTCGGCTCTTGGTGAAGACTGCTTTATGGACGGCAATGTGCCCACGAG